CTGCTGAATATACAAAGCATCCCTGCTTCTCAAGCACAGCACATGCCTGGGGCAGAACAGAAGTTACAGTGAGATGTGGTGGGAATTTGGGAAGAGCAGCCAAGTTAATGAAACCTTTCACATCTGAAATCTGGTCTGATCTGTCTGCCCCAGGTCCTGCACTGACCAGTACCTCTCAGCTCCCAGTCCAGCACCAAGGTGCAAAACAGTGGGGAGAGAAGCTTTCTGTACTCATCTGCAGCTCCTATAGCAGACTGAGCTGCTGCCAGGTAAGAAGGTCACAGCTCTCTGCTCAGCAGCTTTCTTGGAGCCTGTGGCTTGTCAGCCTGAGGGGACACGTGCCCATTCCCTAAAAGCACCTTCCAACAACTGGACTCTGGGAATCACCCAACCTTTACATGCTCAGTAGGCTTGAGAGAGAGCTGAAGTGTCTTGCAAAGCTGTGCCAATATAATGGCTGTAAAGACAGACAGAGACATGTTGGATCTTGGCCATACATTGTAGGGAATTGTAGTAAAACCAATTAGTAGGAATAAGGCTGCTGTGACTAATGAGCTCATGAGTGATGCCTGAGTGGAAATGGCTCTAAGAGAGCTGCAGGGTTGGATTCCTGATGCATTATTCATAGGGATAGGCCAGATTCAGGCTTGGCACTGTTGATTTTTGACTTTGCTTTTCCATTACTCATCAGTGAGGGAAAGCCTGGAGGGAACAAAGGTCTGTTTTTTTAATCTCTTTCACCTGTGAAGGGGCTCTCATCTCTAGACAATTGTGGCTTCTATGAGAGAGAGAAGGGAGACATGATGCATCAGAGGTGAAGTTCATGCCAGTTTAATCCCTGGCAGTCTGCACAAGAGCAGGTTTACTGATTAACTGAGGTTAATTTTCCAAGGTCAGCTAGCAAATCATGGACAGAGCCTAGAATAAACCTCTAAGTAGGTGGTTTTCAAGCCACCACTCACTCCTGTTGCTTCTTTTAACTCATGCCCCTCCTACCAAGGTTGACAAAAATATCAGATCACTGATGAGAAAGGAGCATAAACTGGTGGCTAAACCATGTGGACCACAATGCTGGTTGTTTCTGGAGTTGCTACTACATTGCTCCATGAGCCTAGTTAGCCTTTCTGTATCTCAGCTTCTTTATATCTGATTATGAGATAATAATATTTACTCATCTTAAAGGAGTGATTTTGGGTTTATCCAGCCCTACACTGTGTTCAGTTTTGGGCCCCTTTGCTACAAGAAATACACTGAGGTACTGGACCTTGTCCAAGGAAGCTGGTGAAGGGTCTGGAGCAAAAGTCTTACAAGGAGCAGCTGAGGGAAGTGGGGTTGTTCAGCCTGAAGAAAAGGAGGCTGAAGAGAGGCCTCCTTGCTCATTACAACTCCCTGAAAGGTGGTGGGAGCAAGAGGGTTTTGTCTCTTCTCCCAAGTAACAAGGGATAGAACTAGAGGAAATGGCCTCAGGTTGTGTCATGGAAGGTTTAGGTTGAAAACCAGGAACAATTTATTCAAGAAATGGGAGATCATTGGAAGGAGCTGCCCAGGGAAGCAGTGGAGTCACCATTCTTGGAGGTATTTAACAGACATGCAGATGTGGTGCTGAGCAGCATGGTTTGTTGGTGGACTTGGCACTGTGTTGGGTTAATGATTGGACTTGATGACCTTAGAGGTCTTTTCCAACAAAAAAAGGAGTCTGCTTGGAGGTGTGCAGCAAAAGATTAGCACTAGTGCATAAAGCTGACATGTCAGCATGACACACATACCTTGGAATGCAATATTAGCTTTTGGTCCCACATCTGTCTTCTCTGGAAAGCCCTGGGGTTCCTAGGAGATCCTTAAAGAAATGGTTACAAGCAGGACAATGGAGAATTGAAAATGATCAGAAGTTGTCTCCCAATCAAAGCTGGTGCCTGCCCTAAGCACACATTTAACCCCCAGTCTCTGAAACTGCACTGGAGGTAGATGGGCAGAGCTTGGGACTTTCCAGTGGGATCTCCTCAATGTGGTGACTGGGCAGCACGAGCAAGTTCTTTGAGAGGTGGGGAGATTTGGACACCACTTCCAGCACAGATGCAATGGTTGCAGGGCTGCTCACTTCAGATTAAGATGCTTCCACCCAGAGACTGTCTCAGCTGGCCAGGTAGGGGTTTGGTACAGGTCTCTCAGGCTAGAAGTAAACATTTGAATCTGAATTTTTCCTTTTATTTATGATAACAAACTCCTCTGAAATGCAGAGCTGTGGTACCAGTTGGCCTGTGGATACACACACTAGAAAATGTCTCTTGTTTAATAATCAAATCCATCTTGTGGGTTGTGGAGGCAGATTTATACATCTAGTGTCTTTTAAGTTTTTTTTCCCCCCTCTGTAGTTAATGGAAAACCACCAACACAATAAGCTGCAATTACCCACAAAAGAGGAAAATGAGTTCAACAAAAAAGCTGTTTGGATGTTCCTGTTTGTTCTTGTTGTTTCTTTGGTGACTTGCCAGCACTCCAAGATGGTTACATAGATGGTTACATAAAAGAGGAAACACTTCAGGTGAAGCTCAAAGACTCAGATAAGATCCACTGAAACTACAAACAAGTGAGGTGTGTTGTCACTCCCCCCAAAATAACCCTCCAACCTGAAGGAGGGCCCAGGATTTAAGGAGGGTGTTGATCTGAGATCTGTTCTTCCAGCCAAAAACTGACAATGTAATGATGATCACATTTCAGCTGGGCATGTGAAGCCAATAACCTATAACACATTGTTTGAGGCCACTTATTACCAGAAACTAGAAACCACACCCCTTTCCATTTTCAAGGTTGTGGGATATTTTTAAGAACAAAGCCAACACAATCAGCATATTTCCCCGTTCTTGACAAGGTTATAAAATCCCCTGCTATCTCATGATGCAAAGCATGGATATGCCAAAAGGCCTTTCCCTAGATCTTTTGGGGCTGGGAAGAACTGCTAAACTTTCACAATCAACATAATAATTGTATTATGGAAGCAACCATGAAAAAAAAAAAATAGGGTGAATTCCTGAGGGTGTAGATCACCCAGAATTGTTGTTCCTAAGTGAGGAAGGGCTGCTAAAATGACAAGACTGTCACTGGAGGTTTTGGAGAGATGAGGACTGGGTTTCTTATCTAGATTTAAGAGAAGACCTTTTGTTTTTAACATGGCAAGAAATTGAGTGCTGCTAACCCTGAATTAAGTTCCTTCAGTGGTGCAATAGACAACAAATATGGTGGAAGCATCTCCAAGAACATCTTTGATTCAGCTTTCCTTCCTTTTTTTTTTTTGCCTTATTAAAAGTGTGTGTTGTGGGAGCACCTGGAATTACCACAGAAAGGCTCTTCTTTACCAGTTTTTGCAGTTCCACAACTGAACTTGCCCATCACACATTGTGAGAGGATTTACTAACCTGGGGCTGGCCTGAACCACAGGAAAAACAGAGAGATGCCTTGGACAGAAATGTCCAAGGAACATGGAAGGGAAAGCCAAAGTGTTTAGAAAGTAAAGTAGTGGACTTGCCACCACACTTGGAGAGAGTTGGTTCAGATCAGAGGGGCTTCTCCAGTCATCATCCTCTACAAAAATCTCAGGATAGTGAGCCTGGGAAACTTCCTTGGCCCAGACTTTCATGTCTGGTTCTGTTGCCTTCCCAGTTCTCCCAGTACCTGTGTCCATAGATGGCAGGGAGAGGAGAAGGGGAGATGTCATGTTCCCAGCCCCCTGAAGCCCTGCTCACAGCTTGGGGAGAGGTACTAGAATAACAAAATCCCAACCATGATGTTCCCAGTGAGTGAGGGACTGTAAATCAGCTTTCCATTTCTCTTCCTGGTGATAAACCCTGGTCCCTGCTGGACTTAAAAACAGAGGAGAAAAGCACATGAGGTTTAATGTCTGGCTGTTCCCAGCTCTCTAATCACAGCAAAAAAAAGAAGAAATACCAACAAGGGGTGAGACAGGGAGACTTGGTGTTATTTAACACCCCTGGTTTTACACATCATGCCTAAGATGCAGAGTACACAGATCAAACAGCCTCAGCTCCTGCCCAGCACACAAGCCCTCATTTTATTCTCCAAGGAACATGAGAAGAGATGATGGTTTGGCAGGAGGTGGGGCTTGCTTGGGAGCCTGGTCAATACATTTATAGCTCAATTAGACTTGTTTTTCCAGTAGAATTTGGTCTCAGGTCAGAATTGGTACATAACAAGGAGCCAGGGGGTGTGCCATTAAAGCTAGTGGTGAAGAGTGGTGGAAGCCCAGTGACCAGGCAAGGAGGGCTGGTGCAAGATGAAGGTGTTCCTGGCTCTTCTGTTGGTTGCTGTCACTTGCATGGAATTTGGTAAGTTCATGTTCTGATTTATCCAAGCTCCTGCAGGAAACACAGCATGATGGCATCCTGCTGACTCTTAAGTCCATGATTCCCACGTTGAGCAGTTTTCAGCCAAAAAAATCCATCTTTGGGATATTTCCAGCCTGTCAGATGTTTGGGACCATCATGGTCTCATTCTTATTTTTCACCCAGGCTGCTTAGGAAGTGTGAGAAGTGTTACCAAGTGTGATTGGTTTAATGCAAGTTCCAGCTCTCACTTCTCACATATTCTTGCTCAATCTCACTCTCATCTTCTTTATTCTTTTATTTATTTGGGTTTTTTGGGGGGGTGCTTTGGTGTGTTTTCAACTTTCTGTTCCTCTTTTGATACTTAATCCTGGAATCCAGCTAACCAGTTTAATGCAGAGTGTAGAGACTCTCTCTAATTACATATTGCATGTGTGGTTTATTAAACTTCCACTAGTAGAAGTGGAAAAGATGAGCTGGGACACAAAGCTGGTGGCCCAGGTACTGCAGAGCTGATGTTTCTAGCTCTATTTATTAACATGCTGTGGTTTGCATGAAGTCAAGGAAAATTTCAGCAGACCACCTTGGAAAACAATCAAGTGGGAAGAGGTTTAGGGATTTTTTTCCCATTTGCAGGAGAATTTGAGAGCTTTTCCCCCCAGGGAATGACCCCCATCAATCCTCCCTCCATCCTTTCTGTCCCCATTAGGCCACCTGCCACCCTGCTGGAGGTGATAGATTTGGAGCATTCAGGCAAGGGGGACAGACAACAGCAGCCTGATGTTGGGGGTGACCTATCTGGGATGTGGAGGTAGGGAACAAGCCCCATGAGTTCAAATTGTTCAGGGCTGTCATATAAATCTTCCTCCTCTGTTTCTATCAATGGGATTCCGTTGCTGCTTCTTCATCACCAGCTCTGTGAAGCCAGACATGGGAGGTTGTTTGGGATATTGCTGTTTTTATTCCCTAGATAATAGGGAATCCCACCCCATCACAGGAGGACCCACATGAGTGGTGATGCCATAAACTCTGATGGCAGAAGGTGAGTGCATAGTGCACACCTGTCCATGGACTCCCCACCTCTTGATGTTGCCACCAGAATAACCTCCTGCACAAAAACTTCTTTTGCACTGGTGATCCCAAGCTCAGAGTTGGTGTCAGGCCTGAGAAGTCCTCTGCAGGGTCAGTGCAGGAGCTGTGATTGTTAATTGGAACATTCACATGCTCTGCACAAGCCTTCCAAATGCAGGGCAGGACCTGGTTTCATCTGTGCCTGGCCGAGATGTGGAGCTAGGTTAGGATTTTTTCCTTTCTATTTATTTCCTTCTTAGGTAAGGACATATTCCTTTCTCCAGCTTTGGGTTTGCAGAGCAGATTCTGCAGGGAAAGGAAAAGTGGATGGAGAAAGAAGGGGGATTTGGAACATTTTTTGGAGAATACAGCTGCTGTTTGGAGAGGCAGACCCAGAGCTGGAACAGTAGCCCTGTCTTTGGTGTAATGCACATGTATCCTGGCTCTGGTCACTGGTAGTTCAAAACCTTGGGATGCTTCTGCTGTGTCAAGATCAATGGGAGCTTCTTGTGCTCACCACAGCTGCTACAGCAGAGATCAATCATCAAGGGTCTCCAGAGCAGGAGGTCTTTCCTTTCATCTTTATACCTTGTTCAGTCTGGGGAATCATGTTCTCTTCTCAGTGGAGAGACAGCAGTTCAGAGAGGAATATCATGAAATGACAGAAGGTGGCTTAGGGAGAAGGAGACTCTCTGGTCAGATGTCCTTAAGGGATGGACAGAATCTAAAAGGCAGAATGTAGCAGGAAAGCAACAGAGTGGGGTGAAATTTGGTCTAGAATTGATTCACCAACCTAATTTTGCCATCCTCCTTCATGAGACTTTGTCAAGTGTTGGGAGGCTGGGGAGAAGAAGCCCTTGCTGTGACCCAGGGCTGCCACATTTCTCCCTTGTCCTCCTTCAATTCCTTATCCCATGAAGGTGGGCAGAGTCAGGGTGGATACTTGGATTTCACAGTCAAGCATTGACAAATCTCTTCTGCACACTTTCTCCACTTCAAAGCTGGGCTAAAACCTTGATGGATCTGCAGTTCCTCCAAGCTTTCCTCTGGGCATGAGTGGAATCTGTGTCATTTTGGCATTTCCTGGAATGACAGTGAGAGTTAAAGGATGGATGATCTGCCAATGTCCAAGTGAAGTTACTAAAATGCCTTCTAACAAATCACTAGATTTCCAGCATTTTAATCTCCTCTTTTGCTTTCAGCACTCTGAAAAGAATGTGATGTAACCACATTGAAATATTTTAGCTGATTTACTTCTTTCAAAAAAGTCTTCTAATATGTCTCTTCCTTTTCATACTTGAAGTTATTCTTGAAGCTACTGCTTTTCTGCTTGTCTGTGTCTAAGTTCATAGGCTTTTTGGACAAAATGGGACCATTACATGTTTGGTATCTTCACAAATATCTCCCCAAATATCACAAACAGGCCAGGTTGTTATTCCAAAGCTTGCTTAAAGCAGGGCTTTCAGAGCACAGCTCTTTAAGTGTCCCAGTCATGATCTTTCCTCTCTTCTCTGCAAGATGCCACCTGACTATGGCTGCTGAAGAGCTGCCTCATATGCAAAAGTATAATTGTTTCATTCCAAATTGTGGTTATTTTATTGCATTAAACACTTCCTGATCCAGTACCTTTTCCATCCCATATTTCATGTTTGAATCTGTTAGTCAGAGTGAGGCTTAAGAAAGTACTGGGTCTCCAACTCCCTGAAAGGAGGTTGTAGGGAGGTGGGATTGGTCTCTTCTCACAAGTGAATAATGACAGGACAAGAGGAAACGGCCTGAAGCTGCTCCAGGGGAGGCTTAGACTGGATATTAGAAAGTATTTATTTACCAAAAGAGTGGTTGGACACTGGAATAGGCTGCTCAGGGAGGTGGTGGAGTCCCCATCCCTGGGAGTGTTTAAATGTAGATATAGTGCCGAGGGACATGAGTTAAGCACTGAACAGGTAAATTAGGTTATGGCAGGGGGATTTAGGTAATGGTTGGACTTGATGGTCTTTGAGGTCCTTTCCAACCAGGTTGATTCTATGATTCTATACACGTGTTGGGGACAAGAGTCTGTTAATTTACTTTCTTTCTTTCTTTCTTTCTTTCTTTCTTTCTTTCTTTCTTTCTTTCTTTCTTTCTTTCTTTCTTTCTTTCTTTCTTTCTTTCTTTCTTTCTTTCTTTCTTTCTTTCTTTCTTTCTTTCTTTCTTTCTTTCTTTCTTTCCTTCTTTCTTTCTTTCTCTCTTTCTCTCTTTCTCTCTTTCTCTCTTTCTCTCTTTCTCTCTTTCTCTCTTTCTCTCTTTCTCTCTTTCTCTCTTTCTCTCTTTCTCTCTTTCTCTCTTTCTCTCTTTCTCTCTTTCTCTCTTTCTCTCTTTCTCTCTTTCTCTCTTTCTCTCTTTCTCTCTTTCTCTCTTTCTCTCTTTCTCTCTTTCTCTCTTTCTCTCTCTCTCTCTCTTTCTCTCTTTCTCTCTCTCTCTCTCTTTCTCTCTTTCTCTCTCTCTCTCTCTTTCTCTCTTTCTCTCTCTTTCTCTCTTTCTCTCTTTCTCTCTCTCTCTCTCTTTCTCTCTTTCTCTCTCTCTTTCTCTTTCTCTCTCTCTCTCTTTCTTCCTCTCTCTCTTTCTTCCTCTCTCTCTTTCTCTTCTTTCTCTCTCTTCTTTCTCTGTGGCTTTGACTTGCCCCCTGATGAGCACCATGAAATCTGAGCCTGCTGACAAACCCCCTCCCCACAGATGCCTTGGGCAGCTCTCAGGCTGGAGTTAGTGTGAACAAAACACCAGCCCACAATGGGCCAAACAGAATAATCAGGTTTGCTTGGAACAAAAGCAGGGTGATTGCTGTGCCTGTTTATAGAAGGGCTTTTTCTGGCTTACTGGTTAGGATGAAATTACATCATTTATTTTCTCAGAATCATTGAATGAGTTGAGTTGGAAGGTACATTTAAAGGTCACTTAGTCCAATCCCTCTCCAATGAGCAGGGACATCAACTGGATCAGGTTGCTCAGAGCCTTGTCAAGCCTGACCCTGAGTGGCTCTAGGGATGAGGCCTCCACCACCTCTCTGGGCAACCTGTTTAAGAGTTTCACCACCCTCGTTGAAAAGAACTTGTCCTAATGTCTCATCTAAATCTGCCCTGCTCTAGCTTAAGGCCATTGTCCCTTGTCCTGTCATTACACACCCTTGTAAACAGTCCCTCCCTAGATTTCTTGTAGGCCCCCTTCAGGTAGGAAGGCTCTTATAAGGTCTCCCTGGAGCCTTTTCTTCTCCAGGCTGAACAACACAAACTCTCTCAGCCTGTCTCCACAACAGAGCTGCTCTAGCCCTCTAATTATTTTAGTGGCCCTTCTCTGGATCCTCTCCAAGAGGTCCATGTCCTCCTTGTGCTGGGGGCTCCAGAGCTGCACACAGGACTTCAGGTGAGGTCTAACCAGAGAAGAGTAGAGAGGCAGAATCACCTCTCCTGATCTGCTGGTCACACTTCTTTTGATGCAGCCCAGGATGCAACTGGCCCTCTGGGCTGAGAGCAAGCTTTGGTGACTCAGTTTTCCTAAGGTGTCTTGTATCCTCACTCTACTGTTATGACCCTCCATTTTAGGTGTGCTGAGATGAGCTGAGTAGGGGCAGGGCTCACCTTCAGCAAATTTGCAGATGATACAAACCTAGGAGAAGTGGCTGATACCTCAAAGGGTCATGCTTCCATCCAGAGGGATCTTGAAAGGTTGGAGAAAGGAGCTGACAGGAACCTTATGACATTCAAAAAGGGCAAGTGCAAAGTTCTGCCTCTAGAGAAGAACAAACCCATGCACCAGTTTATGCTGTGAACCATCCAGCTGGAAAGCAGCTTGTCCAAAAAGGATCTGGGGGTAGTGGTGGACACCAAATTGAACATGAGCCAGCAATGGGCCCTTGTGGCAAAGAAAGTTTATGCTATCCTGGGTCTCCTTAGATGAAATACTGTGTGCAGGTTGAAGTAGGTGGTCCTTCCCCTTTGCTCAACACTGGTGAGGCCAAATGTGGAGTCCTGTGTCCAGTTCTGGGGTACCCAGTACCAGAGGACATGACATACTGGAGAGAGTCAACTGAAGGAGCACAAGGATGAGTATCTCTCCTGTGAGGAAAAGCTCAGAGAGCTGTTACAGTTCAGCTTGGAGAAGGCTCAACAGAGAATCTTATTAATGTCTATAAATACCTGAAGGGAATGTCCAAGGAGGATGGGCCAGACTCTTTTCAGTAGTGCCCAGTGCCAGGACCAGAGTCACTGGACACAAACTGAAGCAGTTGCCTCTGAACATCAAGAAACACATTCTTACTGTGAGGGTGACTGAGGACTGGCACAGGTTGCCCAGGGAGGCTGGGGACTTGCCATCCTTGGGGAAACTAAAACCCCATCTGGATATAGTCCTGGGCATCTGGTTCTAGGTGGTCCTGCTTGAGCAGGGAAATTGGACTAGTTAACATCCAGAGGTCCCTTCCAACCTCAAACATGCTGAGATTCTGTGAGTGTGTGAGGCTGTGATCTCTTTCTGATGCTCTACTAATAGAAAGGTAAGAAGAAAAGCAGATGCAAAGTAAGAACAGAGTTGAAGTAAACCAGCTATAAGTGTGTTTATTCTCCTGTGGGAATAACAGAGATTAAAGGAACTGGTTGGCTGGAAGCAGAACAGTTAGGTACTTCTCATAAACACATGAATCATAGCCTCTTGACTAATTGTAATCATGATTGAAATAAAACCATCTTGCTAACTGCACAGTTGAAGTATTGGACTTCTCCTGGGTCCTGCATGTCTTGCTGGGGCAAGAGCTTCAAAGAATCCAAGCACTGAGATGTCACATCTTGCAAAGTCTGTTTCCTGGCATTCAGTCACTGCACAGAATAGTTCACCCTATCTTAGGCCACCCAGTTACCTCCACAGTGATAAGGCAGAAGCAGCTGGGCCAAGCAGCTCCTCCTCACTATTGTAATGAGTTTAGTTCTGCTTTTTTTTTTATTCTGTCACCCTCATCATTTTTTGTTGGAGCTGGGAGGTCCCAGCACTTTCAACCCACATTTCCAGCATGTTCTAGGGTGCAAATCCAAAATTCAAATACATTTATCCTTAAAATCTCTCGTGGGCTACTTAAGAATTATGAAAAAGCAAACACAAACAAAACCCCACAACCTACCAAGCCCTCAAAACAAAGCAAGAGCAGAAGAACCAACCACCTTTGTGCCCTAAGCATTCAGCAGCTTGGTGTTTAGAGGACTTACCTGTATCATGGGGTCTTCTGTGTGGTGGTGTCTTTTTTGGCTTGGCTGGATGCAAGGGGTCTGAACTCCCACCTGAAGCTGTCCTTTGACCACCAGGCTTCTGCAGCTCTCATTACCACTGGTTCAAATACCTTTTACTACTCCACTTGTCTTCTCAATAAGATTATTTTGGAAAGGTACCCTCCACTGAGACACCTGGAGGGGCACGGACAGAACCTGGTGGTCCACATGAAGACCAACCTCATGTTTTTCCTCTTTGCAGTGCAAACCTTGCAATGTTACTCTTGCCAAGAACCTACTGCTGTTGAAAAGTGCCTGCAGATCCAGAACTGCACGACAAATGAAACCATGTGCAAGACTACGATGTATTCCCTGGAGGATGGTGAGGGCAATTACTTCTTTATCCCTTTTTTAAGAGCTTGAGACATGGAGCTAAAGAGTTCTGGCTCTCCAGATCATGCAGAATGGGTGTTGGGAGACCTTCTTACACCTTTTCAGTACTTAAAGAGGTCCTATAAGAAAGATGGGGACAGACCTTTTAGCAGGGCCTGTAATGGTAGGACAAGGAGTAATTAAAAGAGGGAAGACTCAGACTAAATATACAGCAGAAATGTTTTAAAATGAGGATGGTGAAGCACTGGCTCAGGTTGCCCAGAGAGGTGGTAGTTGTCTCATCCCTGGAAACATTCAAGATCATGTTGGATGGGGCTCTGAGCAATCTGATCTAGTTGAAGATGTCCCTGCTTACTGCAGGGAGATTGGACTAGATGGACTTTAAAGGCCCTTCCACCCAAACCACTCAATGATCCACTGATTCTCTGAAACAGAGCTCTCCCCACCCAAGAACTGTTTAAGAAAGCTGTTTGAAATAGAGAGGCCGGTGGAGATGAGGCAGGCTGAGTAAGGTGGGATGAGCAACTTCTGGCCATCCTGGGGCAAAACAAAAGTTCCTTTGAGTTCTCTGGAGCTCTCAGGAAGGTATTGTCAATCTGACTGGTGACCCTATAGATCATAACCTGTCCAAGTAAAGAAAGACACTGTGAAGGTGGAGGCTCTCTCCTTTGCATGCTCTGTTGACAAGACTCTGCTCGCGCATGGGAGAGGCAGAAGGTAGTGAGTTCAGTCAAAACACAGGCAGAAGAAGTGCCTAATTGACCTTTTGCAAGGCAAAGTGGATCCAGGCAGGAGGCAGAGGATACAAAGTGCTGTTCAGCCTGTGGCTCAGTGGAAACTGTTTCCTATATTCCTGGTAGGAAGTAAACAAATTGTGTTTGAGCTGCAGCCAGAACTTCGGTGGTGGAGGCAGCGAATGCTTTACTAGAGACAAGGAGAGTTCTCCTCCATCCCTCCCATTCTTAAGTCTTCTTTCTTTCTTTCTTCCCTTGTAGTTTACCCCTTCACGGGGGTCTCAACCTTCACCAAGATGTGCTCCTCTGTCTGCCTCCCATCCGATGTGGATGGGATCGGCCTGACGCGCCCCGTCTCCTGCTGCTACTCCGACCTGTGCAACTTCGATGGTGCAGCTACTCTGAGGATCAACTTGGTGCTAGTAGGGATGCTAGCAGGTTCCCTTTGTGCCCTCTCCTGGACTAGGCTGTGAGGAGTTGATGGGAAGGCCTTTCATGCTGAAGAACCCAATGAAGAAGAGAACAAACCCCTGCCAACTCAGCTTCCCGGTTGGGTGCCCTGTGATCAACCCTTGGCAGCTTCCAGAAATTGCTTCTTTAGTACCCACTCTTTTTCTGGGACCAAGAGAGAAGCCAAGCTCAGAAAGACCCAACACACATTTTTTCTTTAATTGAATCTTGAACAACTCCCACAAAACTACCTATGGAGTCTGGTTGCTGTGCTGGTCTGGTTGGTTTTGAACTAAAAAATTCTGCTATATGAAGTATATTTAAAGCAAAAAGCTTTGTGCTAAGAGCCTTCCAAACCCCCTTAGAGCATTTTCCCCAAGTGTTAGCCAGCAGAATAAGTGGATTGGCCAGTTCTCTGAGCTGGAATTCAGCCATGTGACAGGTCCTCTCCACCCCACAGTTTTGTGCTATGTTTTTGGGTTTTTTTTTTCTGTCTAGATCTTCTTTTTACACACAAGAAATTAAGGAGACACTTAGCTGTCCAAAATATGAAACAAGAGTCCAAACTTCCTGTGCCAATGATCTGATCCGAGGAGGCTAAAATCTCATGTTTTCTGTACCCTTTGAATTAGAATAAAAAAAATGTGTTAAAACTGTTGTGATCACTGAAGTTACTTAGAATGAACTTATCCTCTTCCCTTGCCATGGGCAGGGACACCTCCCACCAGCCCAGGCTGCTCCAAGCCCCATCCAACCTGCCCTTCAACACTGCCAGGGATGGGGCAACCACAGCTTCCCTGGGCAACCTGGGCCAGTGTCCTGCAGATACTGGAAAGCCACCATGAGGTACCCCTGGAACCCTCACTTCTTCAGGTTGAACAACCCCAACCCTCTCAGCCTGTCTTCATAGGAGAGGTGCTCCAGCCCCCTGATCATTTCATAGCCTTCTCTGGACTTGCTACAACAGCTCCATGTCCTGTGTCTTCTACAACCTAAAGAAGAATCTACTGAAGTTCCCCTGAAACCAAAGCTGGAGCCCAGATATGTGGATATTTACTCTTTTCTTCTTTTTCTAGGAAAGCCATTTATTTTGCATTGGTGTAAACTGAGTTTTATAGGAGATAGAATCATAGAATCATTAATGTTGGAAGGGACCTCAAAGATCATCAAGTTCCAACCCCCCTGCCATGAGCAGGGAACCCACCACTAGACCAGGTTGCACAAAACCTCATCCAACCTGGCCTTAAAAACCTCCAGGGAAGGGGCATCAACAACCTCCCTGGGCAACCCATCCCAGTTCCTCACCACCCTTAGAGGGAAGAATTTCTTCCTAATATCTAACCTAAATATCCCCTCTCTCAGTTTAAAACCATTACCCCTTGTCCTGTCACTGTCTTCTCTGATGAAAAGTCCCTCCCCAGCTTTCCTGGAGCCCCTTCAGGCACTGGAAGGTGCTCTGAGGTCTCCCTGGAGCTTTCTCTTCTCCAGGCTGAACACCCCAGCTCTCTCAGCCTGTCTTCATAGCAGAGCTGCTCCAGCCCTTGGGTCATCTTGGTGGCCCTTCTCTGGACCCTCTCCAACAGGTCTATGTCCTTCCTGTGCTGAGGGCCCCAGAGCTGTACACAGTATTCCAGGTGGGGTCTGCCCAGAGCAGAGCAGAGCAGAGGGGCAGAATCCCCTCCCTGGCCCTGCTGGCCACACTTCTTGTGATGCAGCCCGAGACACAACTGGCTCTCTGGGCTCCAGCACACACTGGTGGCTCATGTTGAGCTTCTCCTCAACTACCACCCCAAGTCCTTCTCCTCAGGACTGCTCTCCAGCCATTCTCCCCTAGCCTGGATTTGTGCCTGAATAGCCAAAACACCTGGCTACTTGTTGAAATATTAGGCACTTCCTATTCACTGTCTGGAAGTGTGAGTGTGTCAGCCCTTCTGCACAGGAAACCAACATGAATTACATGCTCAGAAAACTGAGAAGGAAACACAACCTTCCCAGAATTTCAGTGCACAGCACTGCTGCTTCTCAGACATCACTTTCTGTGCTCATAGTCCCCTGTCCTTACCCTGTGTTGGTTGATAAACAGAGCAGTTATGGCCCAGAACATCACCAAATGATCATGTCATAGAGCATTTAAAAACAAATACATCATTGGGAGCCAGAGTATTGAGTTATATCATCATAGGGAACAACACTAAAAATACCAGTGCAGTCATGGGCACTGAGAATGTGAGTCATGGGCAGAAGTACTGGAAATGCTTCAAATCAAGACATTGCTGGGCTTGGGAAGGTGAGCAGAGAATATCTGGCAGGTGGAGCTAAAGCCATGACACCAGCAAACTGCAGAGAAGAAAAGGTCTTGACTCCCAGTTGCAAGAGATGATGATGAAATTCTGCAACCCAGTAAAACAACACTGGGATTGCTTGTAAGAGGCCACATTTTTATCTGACTTGCAGATCCTCAGGGCTGAATCTTGGACTTGCTTTGTCTTGACCTGCTTTCAGCTTTGTTTTCACTTGGCTCAGCTGTAACAGCAGTTTTCCTAATTAGCCATGTGGCTCTGCCTAACTGAGGTTTATTTTGGTTGTCTTGGTGCAACACTATGTTTACCTAGTTAGCTGGAACAAGGAGTTGCGTGTACAATGAGATATTTATGGTGTTGATGTAAAGAAATACCTGTGGAGACCAGCTGAGAGAGTTGAGGTTGTGCAGCCTGGAGAAGAGAAGGCTCCAGGGAGACCTTAGAGCACCTTCCAGTGCCTGAAGGGACTCCAGGAAGCTGGGGAGGGACTTTTTATAGAGCATGGGGTGATAGGATGAGGGGGAATGGTTTCAGTCTGAAAGAGGAGAGATTTAGATGAGGTATTAGGAATAAATACTTGACTGTGAATGTGGTGAGAGACTGGCTTAAGTTTCCCTGAGTGTGGTGAGAGTGGCCCAGGTTGCCCAGAGAAGCTGTAGATGCCCCCTTGCTGGATTTGATGGGACTTGGAACAACCTGGTCTAGTGGAAGGTGTCCCATGGCAGTGGGTTGGAACTAGATGATCTTCAATGTCCCTTCCAATCCAAAGGTGACACCTGGTGAAAGTCCAAACACCTCAGCTGCCCTGTGATTTCATTAGAGGTAAGTGATGAGGATTCTTCATCCAGCTGCCTGTTTCATCCCTCTCTTTTCTGATGCACTTGAATCAAGGAGATTGTTTGAGATCCCTACCACCTAAAAAGCATTAGGCACAGCTGATGGCAGTGCTCATGCTCCATGACCTTAATTTGTGCATCTTTGTAGCTGTCACCACATTGAAAAAGCACAGGTGAAGGAGCATAATCTTCCCCTCCCTTCATCAGCCATGGATGATTCACCTCTTTGATCTCTGGCCAGTTTGTCAGCATTTCAGCTCTTATGACAGAGATCAGAGCTTCTGGATGAGATCTGGCCTGAAAAGCATAAAATTGGTGTGGGTGAGGCACTGTTGCTTCATAGTTGCACTCTCAGACCAAAACAGAGCTCTCAAACCACAGGGAAATGGTATCTGGTTAAACATAGAATAATAAAATAGTTTGTGTTGGAAGGGACTTTAAAGATCATCAGGTTCCAACCCCTCTGCATGGGCAGGGACACCTCCCAGCAGCCCAGGCTGCTCCAAGCCCCATCCAACCTGCCCTTCAACACTGCCAGGGATGGGGCAGCCACAGCTTCCCTGGGCAACCTGGGCCAGGGGCTCCCCACCCTCACAGGAAATATTTTTTTCCTAATATTTAGTCTCTCTATATCTTCTTTCATCTTAAATCCTTTACCCTCATCCCATCACTACAGACACCTCTAGGAAGTCCTTCTCTGGCTTTCAAGCACCCCAGCGACGTTTTGAAGTGCTAGGAAAGTGTCAACTTTCATGTTACATGTGCAAGGCAAGAAGGACTTCAGGGAGAAATGGACAACTTGACACACCCAAAAGCTACCTGAGGAAACCAGGCAGGACTTTTCTTGGTCAGTGCAGACAGACCCATCCCATTTACCCAGCTTCTCTCTTGGCTGCAATTGCAAAATTCAGTAGACAAGGCAGGCAACAGACCATGCCTGTGTGACTTTCTCAGAGTGTTTCTTCTGCTGCTTTTAGCTTGGAGAAGAGGAGACAGAGGGGTGACCTCATCCATGGTTACAAATATGTAAAGGGTGAGTGTCAGGAGGACAGAGCCAGGCTTTGTTCAGTGATGTCCAGTGACAGGACAAAGGGCAGTGAGTGCAAACTGGAGCACAGGAGGTTCCACATAAACATCAGAAAAACCTTCTTACCTGTGAGAATGACAGAGCCCTGGGCCAGGCTGCCCAGAGAGGCTGTGGAGTCTCCTTCTCTGGAGACATCAAACCCCCATGGACACGTTCCTGTGTGATGTGCTCTGAGTGATCCTGCTCTGGCAGGGGGGGTGGACTGGGGGATCTTTCAAGGTCCCTTCCAACCCCTAGGAAAAAGAAAACCAAACCAAAACAAAAAGAAAACAAAAAAACCCCCAACAAACCAAAACCTAGAGTGTTGTGCCCAGGGTGATTGTCACAATTTGCAAGCAGACTTCTGTGTGTGTAAACAGGGAAGTAGGTGTGTCCCCTTCTAAAATCCAGGAACTTCTTTTGAAAGCTTATTTTTCAAACAAATCTAGATGACTTCTTTCAAGCAGACAAGAATTCCCCAGGTTATATAAGGAGAAGATTGTCTTTCACTTAATGGCTGTGCAAATATAATTCATGCCCTTAAGGGTAGGGCTTTGTCATTAGTCAATGGTTTTGCAGTTGCAGATCTGTGCTCCTGTGGTGGCAACTTCACCTTCTCCTACACACACAGGCTGTGAAGGACTTGAGCACAGCACAACCACTGATGTACAGTCTTCTGAAGATGGAGAATTGACACTGTTGTTTACATTTGAAAAGGTATCAAGCTGCCAGTGACAGCAACTGGTGTATCATAGAATCACAGAATGGTTTGGGTTGGAAGGGACATTATCTAGTTCTAAACCCCTGAAAAGGGCAGGGAC